ACACATGTGAAAACATATCCCCATCTTACTTTTCAGCAAGACTGGGAATGGGCTACCAGACAACTTCACAACAAAAACAAAGATCTTTAACCTTTTATTTGCCATTAACCCTGCAGGCAGTTCAGCTACCACTTCGTAAATCTTGGAAAGCCATTTCAGGTTATGAATTCTTAATTTCACCTCCGTTTACACCTTTTTTTTTCTTTATGGTGAAAGACAGAATAGCTGCATTTACTATGCACCTGCTGTGTGCCCAGTGTCGGCTAGACTCTTGATGTTCTGGAGCGATGGTGTAGGTGGAGTCAGGCTTGTTGCACCATTAGCCTCTATGGCCATCACCTGCAGCCTTGAACGTGTTGACACAGAAGGCTCTTGGGAGCCTGGGCGTGGGGCACGTGTGCCTGATTGTTGACACCTGCACATGAGTGTGCCCATGTGCGCAAGTGTCGGGAGATATAAGGCGGCGTCACTCAGCCACAGAGCATGGCAACAGCTATGAGGAGACCATGAGCGAACCCCAGAGAAAAGAGCACATAGAGAGACATTCACAGGGGGTAACGTTGCTGACCCGTCTGTCTGCTGACACGTTTCTTCTGCTTCCATTAAAACCTGTGAACATGATGCCAAGGCCTCCAGATTTCTTCAAATTACTAGAACTGACAGTGAACCTACCCAGCCGGGGACAGTGGCGAACAGATGGGCATTAGAATCTCCATTTATATATGAGGAAACCGAGGCTTAAGGTCACGCATCTAGCCCGTGAGGACTTGAGACCAGGTCTGGATTCTTACCCTCCCTTTGATTTACCCCCTCAGCAGGAAGGCCAAGTTTGTTCTTGGATCATCAGTTATCTATCACCACAGTCATGCCACATGATACAGGCCCGTTACTGCCCTGGGGTCTCTGGGTCAGAGGGGTGGTCAGCTTTGCTCTAATGGTCTCGCTGTCAGCAACTGGGGCGGGATACTCTTCACGTGGCAGTGGGCAGAGTTCCAAGACCACGAACCACACTTGTGGACTCTTGAGGCCCTGGGCTCAGGAGGCACCTGCCAGTTCTGCCACGTTCAGCGGCCACCAGAACTGGCATTGCCAGCCCAGATCCCTGGGGGAGGGGAGCAAGCCCACTCCTGCTGGGAGGAGTCACCTTGCAGGGGCATTAATATTAGAAGGGAAAAACTAAGGCCCTTTTACAGTGAGTGAGCCTCAGTTCTGCATTGGGGTTGCTGCGCTCCTTGTGGGCCGTCCTTCGCTGAAACCTCTACCTCCATTGCCTGCTCTCTCAGGCCTTCTGCTCATTCATACAGGACAGAAAGATGACGAGGAAATTTAAAGGGGCCCGAGGGGGCAGGGGGCAGTCAGTCCGGCAGGAATTAAGTCTTCAGCTGGCCCGATTAAGCTAAAGCAGGGCCATCAGCATCAGGCTGCTGGTAAAGGGGCATCTGAGAACCACACAGATCCTCTGCCCATGCCTGACACGGGTGCCGCTTCCAAGTTCCCTTGGGCATGGGTGCCCCTGGCCCAGCCCAAGTGTCTTCTGCTGATGTGTTTTGCTTGTGCATACTCTGTGCTAACCTGGTGCACACAGGAAATGATATTAGAGGTTGGGGTGGGGCTGAGTGAGTGGGGGAGGGGTGAGAAGAGGGGTTACTGGACTGAAGGTGAGGAGGGATGCCCAGAAAGCTCCTAAGAAAGAAGCATAAGCAAGAGTTGAGAGGAAGCAGGTAAGAGAGGAGTTTAAAAATCCAATCTAAGGCCCTCCCTGGTGGCACAGCGGGTTAAAGCGCAGCACTAAGAAGCTAAAGCCACTACAGCATGAGTTTGATCCCCGCCTACCCCGGAGGAGATCCACATGGCGTGGCAGACCTCTCCTGACCTGCCCACTGCTCCCCTCAGCAGTGGACTTCGTCGATCTGCCTATTCTGCCCCCCACTCTGTCTATGGTGAAGCCTCTCACTGCCTCTGCATCTCTGGCCTGTACCCCAGTTCTGAATGCATAAATAAATAAATCTTTAAAAAAAAAAAAGAAAGAAAGAAAAGTCCAATCTAACGATGATGAGCGGACAAGCCAAGAAACCAGTCACTTTGAGACCTTGGAGCCCAACCTGGACCACACTTGCCCTGACCACTTGGGGTGCTGGGGTTGGGGGAGGGAGGAAGGGTCACCTGCGGAGTTCTGTCTCATGTGGGTCAGAAAGATCAGCCACGGGGAGTGGCGCATCCTTGGAGATGAGCTTTCTTTGTCTAGCTTCTGCCTCTCTGAGGGAGCAAACATGGCAGCCACCACCAAATGCGCAACCTGGGGCCACAAGATCACAGGGAGGGCTGTGCTCTGGCCAACATGCCTCCTCTTATCCACTCTGTGCTTTGGAGAATGTGTCTGCCTGAGACCCCCGGTCTTTGGCAACAACTGACTGTCCCCTTGGTTGCTAGCCACAGGCCCTCTCCTGCTGGCTCCCTGCCAGGTCTGGTCCACAGAGACAAACACTGCCAGTCTGAGTTCCTGTTCCTGCCCCCAAAGTGGGGAGGGGTGGCCGCATCAGGCAGGTAGCCTCACTGTAAATAAGCACATGGTCTCCCCCTGCCCAAGGCAGAAGTGGTAGAGGGCGTTTTGCTTGCCCTGACCTGCCTGGCGATTGCCCAGGGGACCCTGGCATCCACAGCCCGCCTCGCCACGTCCCTTGAGAAGAGGGAGGCGAAGAAGATCTAGTGGCCACAGCAGGCCACTGTGAAAAAACTTGCCTTAAGTGGCTGGACCCCGAGAGCCTCGTGCAGACACACCGCTGATGAACCCTGGCTTATGCCTCGCACAGACTCCCGGGTGGTAGGGAGCTACATGGCATTTTGCTGGCTTCTTGCACATGGGTGTTTCACTGCAGAGTAACATTTCTTAAACAAAACTATTTGCTCTCTGATGGTGCCTTTAGGAAAAGCTGGCTTCACACCTTGCTTCTGAGAAAGGCTGTGGTTTCTAGCTGCATCCCAGCTGCCAGACATCCTTCGACCTTTGGCGGTCAAAGCAGGTGTTTTCCTCCAGCTTTATTTTCCTTCAGCTGCTGAAATTGCTTTTGTGTGGAAGAATCCTAGGGTCCCTCCTTGTATGGATTTCCTTATTGCTCCAAAAAAAAAAAAATATCCTGTGGTGACAACCGCCAGCTGCCAGGATTCCGGGCGGGTTACCCACCTCCTGCTACATCGTTTTGGGTACTTGGACTTGGTGTACACTGGCGGAATGCAGAGTACAGCTTTGCCTTTGTTGTGGAATGTGGCGGCCTTGGGAAGCTGTTGGGAAGGCAGATACCGGGTCTATCGATTGTTTTTTTCTCTGCAATTTGCTGAATATTGAGCCTTTAGCATTTTCTCTTTAAGTGAGTGTGTGTGTGTGTGTTCGTATAAAACCAAATATAATCTGACAGACTGACATGAACTTGTACCATCCCCGACTAAACACCCTATGAAAAGCACAAAGCATTCTCTGCAGAATAATCAATATTGTTATGAAAATTTAGAGCCACTCGGTTCATCCAGAGCATGAATTGACAGAGGTCCTCAGCCAGTGTTTGGAGAAGATATTTGCCCAGATTTTGTTATCAGGAAGTCACCATGCAGCACTATTTATTCAGAACCATCCAGATGGACACTTGGCATCAGGCGTCCCAGGGGACAGGGTGTGGGGACCTGAGGGGCATGTGGCCACGCCTGGCTCAGCTCCCTCTGAGGCTGCATGTCACCCCTGAGTGAGGGGTTTTCTTTCAGTGGCTGTGACCCATACACTCATGCTTGAATTCCTGATTGCTGTGCACTGATTAAATAATTCTTCCAAGTCCCTTTTCTGAGGTTAGGTCCATCTGTGGACTGTGAAATTCCTGAGAGAGTCAAAACACGTGCCAAGCTTCCGAGTCTGCCCGGGGCCTCCGGTAAGGAGTCAGTCAGGAGCATAGCACAGAGCAGACTCGGCCTTCTAAGAACCGGGGACAGATGTGGTGACACAGAAACCGGTGTCCTGGCCCCGCAGGTCAGTCCAGCTGTAGATGCCTCATCTGCTCACTCAGGGACTCCTGAGTCTGCCAACTGAGGTGCTGTGACTTGAGGTGCTGTTGTTGTGACCTTGGGCTCCTCTCCACCCTCAGCCCTTCTGTTCCTGCCTTGGCTTCACGTCAGACTGACCAGCGTGGGCTTGGCTAAACTGAATTTTTCATAGACTGCCTGTTTCTACTTTTTCCAGAAGTCTGGAGGAAGAAGATTGTGTCAGGATACCATCATTGTCTCACTTCTCATTTCATTCTGTTTTAGTCGCATAGATAGAAACTTTGATTTTTTAAAAAGATTTATTTCTGCATACAGAACTGGGGTACAGCCAGAGATGCAAGGGCGGTGAGCAGAGACAGAGCAGGGTGCAGAACAGGCAGATCGACGAAGTACACTGCTGAGGGGAGCAGCGGGCGGGTCAGGAGAGGTCTGGCGCGCCATGTGGGTCAGCCCTGGGGCTGGGATCAAACTTGCACTGAAGCGGCTGCGGCCAGCTTGCAGTGCTGTGTCCTAACCTGTTGTGCCACTAGGGAGGTCCGAAACTTTGATTTTCAAAAGCTCGACTCCAGAGACTAGTGGCAACACACCTAAAAGCAATTCTAGAGGGTCACTCCAAAAGAGGAGCTGCCTCCTCACACTTCCCCTTGGGGGTCTCACCTCAGACATCCTGATTTCAGAGATAAAGAATGTTAAGGGTATGCTGAGGAGTAGAGGGTGGTGAGTGGAAGCCACTGCCGTTGGCTCAAAACCAGACCGTGTCCACCCATCCTGCTGTCTCCTTTCCTCTAGAGATTGATGCCTTCCATCACCCAGACGGGCTGGGCAGGCGGCTTATTGACAGCCGGGCAGTTTGCACAATAAGTTTAACGGTTTACATCCCCTCTCCCCTCGTATGACTGTCGATGTTCTCCATGGCTCGCCGTCCGGTGGCACTGCTCCCGCGTACTGACTGTCCTCCTTCTCTTTCCCTTAAGCGTGCAAACGCAAAGAGCAAGAACCAAACAAAGACAGGAACAATTCCCAGAAGAAATCCCGCCTGGTGTTCACCGACCTCCAGCGCCGAACACTCTTCGCCATCTTCAAGGAGAACAAACGTCCTTCCAAAGAGATGCAGATCACCATCTCCCAGCAGCTGGGCCTGGAGCTCACGACCGTCAGCAACTTCTTCATGAATGCCCGGCGCCGCAGCCTGGAGAAGTGGCAGGATGACCTCAGCACAGGGGGGTCCTCGTCCACCTCCAGCACTTGTACCAAAGCGTGATGGCAGGACTCTCAGGGGGCACGCCACCTCCAAATGAGGACAACAGAGACCCAAAGAAAACACAAAGGACAAAACAAAACACCGGTTTCATAGCTGGGGCCCTTCACTGGTGATTTGAAAGCACAATTCTCTTGAAAAGAAACTTCTATTCTAGCTGTAATCATAGGCCAGGTGTTCTTTTTGTTTGTTTGTTTTCAACGGCTATGGAGTCCAAGTGCAAGCTGAAAATCAATCTCTTTGAGCTGGACATTGTCCTCTGAGCATGCTAAGCCATCCCAGAAATCCAAACGGGGCCTTCCTGGAGGGAGTTAACTTCAGTGTGGTGTCATCAAAACTCAGGATGGCTGAAAATGTCAACAGTCCTACTTCAGGGCCTGTCACCTCTAGCAGCCCAAGTTTCCACAAGTAGTAGCCAGAATGTGGCCTGTGTGAGGACTCCGAGTTTGGGCTTCTGAGATGAATCTTGCCACAAAGACGACCTCATTTGTCTGAGAGCTTAGCCTACTCATACGCAGCACCCCAAAGTTCACAGCCATAACATGAAAAACATCAGAATGATAACTACTGAGCACAAGTCTTAAATGTGGAAGTAAAACAAAAAATCCAAGGACCTGTTTTTCCAACTCAGGCATTTTTCATTGAATGGTTTAGGAAAAGCTTTGAGTTGATGTCGTTTACAATTTTCTTTTTCTTACCTCCTGGAAATCTCACATGGTCTTGGATCCATTAAAAAAAGAAAAGGAAAAAAAACCCGAATCAGTTCACTTGAGCTCAAGTATCAAGCACAACAAAGATAAACAGAGAAATAAGGACAGTTCCGGATTCACCACATCTGGATTTTCAAGAGGCCGGTTGTGAAGTCATTAGGGAATCATTGGGAAATGGCTTCAAGCACATTTTGCAGTTTGCTACAAATTCTGTTTGTACATAATGCAGACGCACACTCAGGAGGCCAATTAAACTGTTAACGGTACATGGCGCAAATGCAACATTTAAAAAGATCTAGATTTTTTTAGATCATTAATGGATCCTTCTCGGTTACTCGTCACCTGGTCCTCTACCGTGCATTATGACCACTACGTAATTCATTCAGACTCTTTCAGATGTGGGTTCTTCCCTCCTCCATCCCATTGGTAGGGATGTTTTCAGTGTTTTCTAGCAAGTAAAAAAAAGTAATCAAACACTGTACATGTTCCTCATGACTGTCCTCTCCTCCCAAATCTCTTCCATTGTTGAATCATCCTAGCAAAACCACGGAATAAGTCTGGAGAAAACACAGCACACCAAAGAAGCAGAATACTGCAAACCAAAGACATGTATGACTTGCCGTTTTCTAGCCTAAAAATACTGTGATTACTTTTAGAAATCAGAAAACCTCTGCAACTCTGAAAGGCATTCAGCTCTTGCATTTGGCTCACCATCAGGCTGAGCGGACCGGCCACACCGAGGACGTTAGCCAAGCCACCTCCCGGAGAGTGGCTTTGCCACGCCAGCTCTGGTTCCTGGCTGTCACCTTCCCACAGCAAGTGGAAGAGCGTCCACAGAACTCTGGGAGGTTGCGAAAGTCACAATGTGCATATTTACCAGTGAATGGCCCCAGGTGGGCACCATGGGGGTGTTCGAAGCAAGCCAAACGCTGCAATGATTCTTTACAGACACTTGAGACTGACTTTTTTATGAATTACTTAATCGAAACCAAAGAAACTTTTTCTGCACCTACTTCTGCAACAAACCAAACTGTCCCAATAAAATGAATAACTAAATATACAGAAATCAACGAAAATCACCACCAACAAGAAGGAAGCAACAAATAACAACCACAAAAGAGCGAGACACACTGTGTTCAGACAGACCTCTGGGACATTTTTTGGAAGCAGATTTTAAAGAAAGGGTTGAGACAAGAATCGAAATAAGGAAAAGCCACCGCGGCTGCCACTTCATTTGACAACTCACGCGGTGATCTTCAAGTTGAAGATTGTCTTTAATTTGTGCCTATGCAGTTTTTCAAAAGAACACGGAACAGAGCAACAGAAACCTCAACAGCTACAATACCAAAGATGAGGATTTCTCACACCTTTTGTTTCTGCTCATTTTCTCCTCTTGCCTGGCTAAAATACTAATAGCGCCATTGATCTGTGTAAAGGTAATCAATTTTGTCTCTGAGCAACAAAAGGAAAGGGTCATTTATTTGATTTTATTGTTTCCCTTTAATTTTATTGTATGGCTTTCTACCCCAACATGGAATCACTCAATAGGTTCCATGGACTCCATGTTTAAGATGTTGGGATACTGAACAGTTCTCAGAGTGTGGGGAATAATATTGTCACTTGAATGTTCTTTGCTTAATCCTTAGACTTGGTTCCTTCTATGTTCAGAGTCTTCATCAGGGGTGGGAAGGGGAGTGAAGGTCAGGGGTAAGGGTCTTGGTGACACATCCTCTCCCGAGCCACAAACCAAAGAATTTATAGAGGAATTGACAGCCTCTTCTTCATGGGATTGTTCCATCCTAACAGGGCTTCATTTGGGGGTGGGGGAAACATGTAAAAAGAATTGCCAGTTTCTACTTTTCTATTAGCTTTTTAAAAATCAGCTGTAAAGTTGCATTTCTAAAGAAAGAGATATATATAATATATGAATACATAGATAGATTCAACATGACATTGGTGATAACCCAAAATTATTGCTGTCCAAATTCATGTCTTGTTTTTTGTCAAGTGCTTCGTTGATTCAGTATTCTGTTCAGAATTTTGCTCATTTCTCATCCCATCCCAGAGTTCATTTGCCACTGTGGATGATGGGAATATTCAGATTTCTGTGAAAATACCTGGGACAGGTTGAGGGTCAGTTTCAGCATCTAACCTGTTGATAAATGAATCCATGGGACCAGAGCTTCATTTGTACTCAGACTCTGTTCTGTGCCTCAGTCATGATCAAGGTGAGGAGTGAGGTCCATCCGTCAGACAGAGCCCACATCTGGGCCAGGGCCAGGGCCTGCTCATCTTCCAGAACCGCTGGAGAGACTCGCGGGCCCACTCCTACCCGTTACAGAGGTGAGGTAAGCCCAGAAGTCTGTTTCCCAGAAGCTGCCTATCAGGGTATATTGGATCCCCCTGAGTGAGCAGATCCATGAGCGGGCTTTCTCATGGACGAAGTCCAGCTTCTGCTGCAATGGGTGGTCAGGTCTCCTCAGGGTGGTAACTTCCAATTCGTAGACACAGGCCCGTGAGCAATCGCGGCTGGTGGTGGGGTGAGGCAGCCAGTGTGCTGGGAGAGCAGTCTCAGCCCTGGAGAGAACACAGCAGGGTTTGGGGAGCACCCCAGAGCCGCCCTGCCCCCGTACTCTCCCTCTGTCCACTGTACTGCCTCCAGCACCCACCTTGAGGGGGTCTCTGCAGGGTCCTCAGCTGGGGCCCTTGGAGCTGGGGAGAACGTGACTCTCCTTGAGTTTTGTAATCCATCAGCCTGGGGGTTCTGCCTTGACTTTTCTCAATGTCCCTCTGTCCCTTGCTCCTGTACCCTGTCTGTCCCCTTGATTTATCAACCCACAAAAAAAGCATATCTCGCCAAGGGAGCACTCCCATGAGTTGATAAAAATGAATTTCCACTTGGGTGTTTCTCGTGAGTCCTTATGACTGTGGCCAAAGGAAATGGTGGTCCTTCTCGAGACTGGGTTGAGGAGCTGAATCTGCTTGGCTTGCTCACTGGTTCTTTGGCACAATCATCTCAGCGTTTGGGTCTCTGGCATCCTCTGAATATGTGTAAACCCAAAACAGGCAGCCTTTGTGGCCTGACATTTCAATACTGGTCAAGCCAGGTATAGCCACACCTGCCCATAATGTTCCTGGTGACCGCAGGTGAGGTCATAACACAAAAAGGCAAGAACTGCCTGCCCCCGAGGACTTTTGGCAAATGTCTCCTACCAGCTGATGTCATGCCGAAGAGAAGCGCTTGCTTTAGGAAAAATTATTACACACATATATAAACCTGTATCTATATATTTATGGATCAAAATATTAAGCCCTAGAGCAGTTTTATTTGTTAGAAATCTGAAAAAAGGAAATCCCTGCAAATTGAAAGGTAATGGCATTTGACCCAGTGAGTTCCTGCAAACATTTTAAAGACTTATTTTTAAATGGTACTTTCAGAAAAAAAATAACTTTGCACTCGGTGATGGTTTAAGATCCATTTCCTTCATCCGAGGAAAATGGCAGGCACGCCTCAGCCATCAGCAGCAAAAGTGTCAGTGGACAGAGACATTTCTGAGCCAAACTTACATTCTTAAGGCCACAAAATCTGGAGACTATTCAGTGGGACATTCTTTTCTTTATTTCTGTAGGTAAAAAGAATTTATTATTGCTATCACTATGGGCTTGGTGTAGGGAGTAGAATTCTTTCATTCCAAAAAGCCAGAATATTTTTGTTTTAAAGAAAATCAGCAGTAATGCTCTAACATTTAAAGACTTTTCCAAAATATAAAATAGTGCCCAGGTTGTAACATATAAATGTGTAGGCAAGAGTGAGCCCTGAAAAGCCCCGTGTAATGTTTTCTCTGAAAAGTTCCATGAGCTGCTGTGACTGCTCCTCTTTCCTGACAGGCTCTTGATAATTGTAGCTTAGGAAATTCAAGCTACTGAGGAAGGTAAATCTAACACATCCACACACGGATCCATACATTTTTTAAGTCAAAATATATTTCAAAAGCAATTGTAAATACCTTTGAAAGAAAGAGCATTTTACTTACCAAGGCTGGGTGCCCACCAACTAATGCCAGTAAATGAAAATTGCACAGGCTTTTTGTTTTTGTTTGTTTTTAATGTCACTACCCACGGAGCCCAAGAGGGACACCTTCCCATTTTTGAAAATGCTGGTGGGTGTCATACTACCAGTGTCAGGACATCATAGTAAGCTCTGATTTTTAAGAAATAGTACAGTTGGATCATATACATAGATATTTTGAAGATAATTATCAAAGTCCCTGGCCGATCAGAGCTGACTTTTGTTGTTGTTGCTGCTGCTGCTGCGTGATTGACATTTATGAACCCAACTGGGAAGAGGATGTGGGGAATTGTAGCGGAAGAAGGGATAGAGCTGGTGGGACTTTCTTTTCTGTACCTGCAAGACTGAGGCACTAAATAAGTTTGTACCTTTAGCTACAACCAAGTCACCTCTAAAACAACCAAGAGATTCTAATTTTCAAGTAAGGTCACCAAAGCTCACTGAAGGAAGAAGGGACATGTGAGACTGTTGTCGGAGTCTGATACGTTAATGATGTTGGCTTTAAATGTGGATGACCCAATGTTTGTTTTCCATGTACTGATTTCTTTTCAAAAGGGGAGGGGGGGTGGTGAGGGAGGGTTGCTTTGTCTTAGGAAGCCTCAGAATTCGTTACAAAAGACAAAAAGAATTATTAAAACAATGTCAGGCTTCCCATGGTAGACACCCTTTATAATTGAGGCTAACAGCTCTTGTGTGAATCCCACAGAGACAGGGAAAGCTCATTGTTCTTGGATTCAGATTGTCTCTGACAGTCTTAGGCACATTGAAGCTAGAGCCTGAGCTTTCCTGATAGGTTTTTGAGTTTGGTTGACTGGAATTAACTCCCAGAAAACATTAGGATAGGTCTGACCATTCCATGGAAGCCTTCCATTCTGTGCCATCCTTAGCAGTAAGCATTTCACCCTGGTAGATGAGTTTGAATACAGCACAGTTTGTCAGCTCGGGAGTCTACAGATTTAGATACATCTCTAGACCTGATGCTCATACATGTCCTTACAGCAACACATACTACCTGTGGGTCTCTAGCATGTGCACAGACATACATGCCCAGACATCTGGATACATCTATGCTGTCATCTGTTACAATAAATACATTTTAAACTATCATTTCACATCTATGTGGTACTTCTACATTGTACATTGTTTTCATTATTTATTATAACATTGAAAACAAAAGTGCAGGAAAAAATTAAGTATCCCAGCATCTTTATTGTGTACACTTGGCATCACTTTCATTTGGGTACATCCAAGATAAACTCAACTTTCGAGAAACCTTGGATGTTGTCTAATCATCTGTGACTGACACATATGCTCAATGACTGCGGTTGAATAGCTTTATTCTGGATTTCATAACCAAAGCTTAATCCAAAGACCTGAAAAAAAAAAAAGGGCAAAAGAAGAAAAAAAAATGAAAAAAAAAAGTAAAGTGCAAACTAATTGGGGAAAGTGGGTTCTGGTTTCCAGGGTGAGACAACAGTGATGTATCGAGGGAGCTGTGCCAGCTGGACAGGAAGAAGTGGGGTGGTTTTATTTATTTGTTTCATACTTGTCACATCTAAGTGGTCTTTATGAACATGGAAAAGTTTTACAGGTTCTAATTTCCTGCTTTATTTAAAGGATCAGGAAAGAGGTTATACATTTTGCCCATCAAAGAATGAAGACAGTCAAAATTAGCATTTTTTTCTTGTCTCTTGGGTTATGACCCAACAAGCTAAGAACCATTAATGTAATTAATTTATTTAAATTAGTTTCTAGCATACAAATGTATAGGATTGGGGTGCTTATTTAATAATCCTTCATAGTTTGATTTTACTCCTTTGCTTATTTATCAAAATCTAGACCAATGGTGCATCAGAGATGCAAAAATCCCTTGTAGAATTCTCTTGAAAGTTGGTTTGCTTTGTAAAGCAGTGAAATTCTGTTACAGACAGGGAAGAAATACAGGTTACAAAAGAAATCAAGGTGTTTTTCCTTCTTGAATTAACTTTTAACATAGTTTAAATAACAATTATTAAATTATTTAATTTAAGCTTGCAGCCCCACCTGGTACCAGGCGAACTTCACTTTTTAATTATTGGGGCTTCAGAGCCTTTCTATTGTAACTTATTTATTTAACTTATTCAGTACCTATGAAAGGTGCACTGTATAGTTTATATTTTTTATTTAAAACAACAGAGAGCACTGCAGTTTGTTGTCAGAACAACAGAGCAAAGTCTATGGACAAGCAATGACTATTCAACCTGAACCTGTATATTCAGAAAACATAAGCCGAGACCCTGCTTCACCAGCCTGGATTTCGGGGCTTCTATACAGAAACTGGAAAAGTACATTACAAAAAAATAACAGCAAAAAGAGAGGAATCTTACACTAGCTGCTTCCA